ATAGCCCAGCACCGCCCTAAATAAATATATATATTTTCATTCCCACTAGTATGTCACAGCAATCACAGCAAACAGAAGTCAGTCTGAGAACACCACTATAACCCACTATTCATCTTTCAAAAATATTTTACCCAAAGGTCTTGAGTCTCCTTTAGTGGTTGAACCCGAACTCAGTGAGGAAGTGACTAAGCACAATCAGATATCCTCATTAAGTAAAATTAGCCAAGTACAACTTGCCTAGTTGGTCCCCTCTATGTATTAGCACTGATATTGAGCCGGTGAAGAGTTTAACCATAGTTTTCCAAAAAACAAAACAAAACAAAAAGTACCCACAAAACCCAAACTCATAGACCCACCAGGTTTATCAGGAGCAGACTGCACTTTCACTGTAAAAAGGCAGCTAAGAATCAGCTAAAATACTGAAGAAAATTCTGTGCTCTGAAGCGCATTCTAGTAGCTAATAGCAATCTTTCCTCATAGCAGGAACATGACCTCACATATGTGCTAGCTGATTGCTGTCAGATTTACTGAAGACAAAAGGAGACATTTCATTAAAGGGCAAATGCCAAGAGACTATATAGAACTGCTACAAGAACTGCCCAGAAGGGAGAGGTTTGCCCTCTGATTGCAAAGACGATTTCACAAGAAAATCTTTCCTCTCCTTCCACAATGAATGCATCTCAAAGTGCTGTTGGGCCTAAGAAACAGAATAAGCAAGAAAACACTGTAACATCTAAGGAAATGAGCATCAGCAACACTGCTGATGTAACAAATAAAGAGCAAAAACAATCCCGCTAGATGATAAGGCGCTAGAGTCTTGTCCTGCCGGAGGGCACAGCAGCAGCAAAACCAAAGGCGAGAGGGCAGCAAGAGGGCATGTAAGCTCAAGGCCCCCAGATGTCAGGAAGAAGGCTGCTTGAGCTGAGCATGTGTGATGCTATTGCTTTCAAATTTACCCCAAGACCTCTCTGAGCATTAAAAAAGAAGCAGAAAGCTTTGCAGATTTTAAGACAAGCTACTGAAAGGGGTAACAGTAAAAAAAAGTTCCATAGAAATAGCTTATTTTATAAAATTCAACTTGCCAATGCCCCTTTCAGATAAACGGGCACCAAGTTTGTCCTAACATGTATTAGGGGCTTTGAAAAAAATCTTTTTTAATTATGCCCTAATGCATCCTAGTTCACCACTGTGCTGCAAGCCTTATTACAGCAAGGAAAACCTGCTGGAGGAACAACATGCTGCAAGCCTTCCCATGCACACATACTAGGTAACAGAAAAAAGAAGCCAGCTTAATGGTAATTACCCCACAACTGCGCTTTGTAACCCCAGTTATTCTCTTAAGGCAGACGCCTGCTTTTCTGAGCGGCACAAAATGAGGCTTTGAGCCTTTACTGTTCACTTCAGGCTTCTTTTCCCCTGAAGTCCCTGGCCAACTGTTTTCTCTTTAGAATAAGTTTCCACGGTGAGTGAATGGTAGATACTCAACATATTTCCCTTTCCACCTGTCTTACTTGAGACTAGCATGACAGCAAAGAACCAAAATATTATTTAAACAATGTTCCAAAAATTGAGCCTGAAGCTGCAGCAATATGGCATAGTGTCTCCCTACTGAATGAACTCACTCTAGCTTTCCCAGCTTCTGAAACAACACAAAAACAAATAAGTACCATATTTATAGATGAAAGAAACTCTCTATGGCTCCCTAAAAATGCACTACTTGGAAAGCTAACATGCAAAGGACCAGGAAGACATGGATTCCCAGGACCTTAGAGAAGAATCAGAGGTAAGTATTTCATTTCATTTCTTTGAGGTAAGTATTTCATTTCTTAAGCAGTCTTTTGACTGCTTATTGCATCTTGCTTACATTAACAGCACTTTTAAAAAGGCTGCTGCATTTGGAGCAGAGAAGATTAACCAAGATGTGCTTTATATGCAGGTAAAGCACTGTGTTCCCAGAAGGGGACAGAGGAGAACATTTTTACACTAGCTAATATAACAATGATTCATCCTCCTGAAAAAAAAGGATAAAAACATTAAGAAGTGAATACAGTAGGCTAGAATAAAAAAAATTGGGACTCAGCTGGTCCAGGTTTTACATATGCAAACAAACAGTATGAGAGGGAAAATACTGAGCGCAAGACATGTGAAGTAATGAGGAGAAAGATCGAGTGTATCTATCTTCCTTGAGGCTGTAAGAAGGAAGATATTAAACTGTGCTTTCTGGAAAATTGCCACTGCCAGTTATTGACAAAGTTGTCAATTATACAGGATTATTTGGATTGATGATACAGGAGGAAATAGGGATTTAGAAACACACGGGACTAACAGGAGAGATAGGGATGAGCTGCACACGATAAATGGAGTGGATCTGAAAGTTAAAGGGCAAAGAGGCCAGCTTCAGAGGGCATAATTAAATATCCTTAATTAGCATGCTAGAGTGCTGCAATGAAACCATGCAGCTACTTTCAAGGTTTCATTTTAGAAAATGCATGTAACCGAGGGGAAGAAAGAGCAAGAGTGATCTGTGCCATAAGACCGCTTGACATAAAGTGTATTCTGATAACTTATATTTTGCTAATGTTTAAACGACTTAATTATAAAAAAAAATGCACGTCTGTAACTTCTGCCCAGGTCTATAAGTACTAAGACGACAGTTCACTGCTAGATTTATCCTACTGAGATTTGTCAGACAATTCATTAGGAAAAGAGGGTAGAACTTGAGTAAAATGGTGGGTATGAAATAGTTGAGTAATCACGCTGCTTGAAGAAAAAGATATTCTTCGGCAGAGGGGCAAAAGTGCGGACCAACAAGTAAGAAGGGAGGCAGCACCTGGCACCACAATGTTTTTAAACTGGTCTAGTACTTTGAGACGGGGAACATGAAGAGTGTTTTGAACTTCTTGGAAGAACAATCCTACTGTATCCCAAAGCACAGTTCTACGAAAAATTCACTTCGCTGAAAGTTTAGGGAATATTTGCTACCATAAATTTCTCAATGGAGTGAAACATGCTTAACTGCATTCATGAAGACACAGTTGAAGGGCTAGGATTTCAATGTTAAGATTAGAAGGAGCTGGGCCTCAATCAGTCTGGGTATTGGTGTCTTGTTTGACCATGCAAGCTGCTTAACTCTTTTCTCACTTTTGCTATACAGCGGATCAGTATTGATCTTCCTGCCTCCCAGGCATGTCACCAGCATAAATGCATCAGCTAACTAGGAGTGTGCATAAAAATACTGATATAAGAGGCTCTCGGATGTCAAAATTGGGATGTTGCCATATCTATCTATACTACTTTTCTAAAATACTTAATTTTGGTTACTGATATTAAATAAATTCTGTTCCCAGTATATAAAGGCTGAGCTGTCACACTGCAAGCTACTCTCTCAGGCTTGAGTGAGGGACGGCACTGCTGACAGGAGAACTTAATTTTCATCCCCCTGCTTTAATTGCTACTGTGGGTTCCTTTTGCCACGGTTTTGTTGCACCTGCGCTGAGACCTTAAATAGCTAATGCATTAAGCAACAGAAGTTAGGTCTTGAATACACACCAACAAAAATATTTTTGCTTCTTAAGACGCAATACTAAAAAATAGTCAACTGCAAACAGTTTTGCAAACTATAACTACTAAACTGGACAAGTTAAATCAAGTCTCAGTAGGGAATGGAAAGATTAAGCTGGCTAACGTTATAATCATCACTGAGGGCCAACATACTTCAGAGACTGCACCTATCCACTCAGCACCCTTACCACTTCTCTCAAAACAGCTCTCAAGTCAAGGAAAAATGTAATACATTGTTTCAATACAGTGTACAATATACGTCTGTAACATGTGGTATCAGTTTCCTAGGAAATCTTTATAATGGCTGTTGCAGGATTCATCTTAGCATATAACTTTTGAAGGCATGATTCATCATTCTCTGGATTGCTGTTTTCCACTCCTAACACAGGGAAGCCTGGGAACTAAGAAAAAAAGAAAATACATCAACACTTACTTTTTGCTTGCTTTGCCTTAATTTTTCTGCAAGACACGGGACCCCTCTGCTGGGCTAGAATAGATGAAGCAGCAAGAAGCCCTGAACCAAAGTTCACGGGACAGCAAAAATAACGGCACTTAACCAAACTGGTCCTTACAAACTGAAAGGGCAACCTGCGGCTGGCCATAAGCCTGAGAAAACAAGGAGCCCTGATACAAAACATTAAACAAACAGCATTTGTGATTTACAGAATTATTCCCCCAAACACTATCCAAACACGTAAACAACATTTTAGTAAGATCTGTGAAAATGAGTCACCTTGAAGGAGCTGTCATCATGACAAACATCAGTAGGATCAGTTCTCTGACACTAAAAACAACTGTTGCAATATTAAGAATAAAAGGAAGCAGTGAGAATTAGCTGAGGCAAAAGGTTTGTGACCATGGAAAACTGAATTGTTAGCTATGAAGTCTGCACTATGTGAAGCTAGTAAAGAAGTTTAGCTGTACTTTCTGCAGTTATAACAGACTGGTTTCCAGAGGAGTATGGCTAACCTGAAATAGACCTTTAGAACATTTTTTTCTTTTTCATTTTAGCCATTAAAATTACATTCTTTTTCAAACATGGAAACCACAACAAAGATAGGATCATTTCAGACATCAGCAGTTACCGATATAAAAAGCAAACTTCCACCAGTGACTGGTGGAATATCACATCCATTTTGGGGAAATACTGGTTTAATATTACTCTGACTTGTGAAGCACGATAAGGAGAAAAGTTGAGGCTTCTTTACTCCTTAAGGCTTCATTATCCTGGGTCACGCTGGACAGTTGCCCATTTTGTTTCAGACTTCTTGTTTGCTCTGTTCTACATAAGACCCTGCTCAGTTTTCTACTGGCTAGAATACTACTCATTTTTAAACCCAGAAAGGATTGCAAACGAGCCCCGTCAAAAAACATTGTACAAAGTGCCATCTAGGAAACAATTTTTTGTCAAAAATATAAATACAAAGCAAAGTTTGAAATATTTTTGTCTTTTTTATTATTAAAAACAGTCATTACTCTTGACAAACATTTGGCAAAGAAACCATGGCTGTATCTCTACTTTTTAGGAAACTAATTACAGACTATTACAAAGTGACTCTGTGTATGCAATTATGAGGTTCTGGGTCAGTTTTTCATACTGCAAACTTCTGGTTTCAGTTACTCAGATGATTCCGTTTTAGTTTGCCTGTGTGCTCAACAAAGTATACTGGCTTCAAATAAATATAATTTAGATTTTCAGGAGTGCAGGTAATAGAGGAGAACTGCACCCTATGCCTGCCACCAGATATGACAGAGAATGCTCTTTTGTGCTCTTTACCATCTAGTGATTTATCCTTTTGCACAACATTTCTTTTGAGATCAATCCAATGCCTTAGAAGCCTGTTACTCCAAGCCTTTTATTTTGTAAACCACAGTTTATTTCATTCAAAAACAAGTTTTCTAAATCGTTTGTTAAGGGACAAGGAAAGAGAACAAATCTTAGAAATCTTACAGACAGAAAACTCTCCAGAGGAGAAAAAAAATCTGTAGTGACTGAAGCAGACCTGGACCCTCTGTAAAGACAAGTTTTTCTAATTTCACTACACACAATGATAAAGGAGAAGGTCCAGATCTAGATAAACACTTCAACTATGCAGCAGCTGTACTCACAAAGGGGCAAAAAAAGTATCTTTTTCCCTAGTCATTATCCAAATTCTCAGCAGGACTAGTTTTACATTAGTATGAACATCACTCCATTTACCAAGATGCATTGTTCCATTTCCTGCTCTTGTTCTAGGTCAAGAGGAAGCTTCTTTTTTCAGTTTTTCTAATATCTCATCTGGTGTCATCGATACCAAAATCTTCACCACTTTGTCACGTGATTTACCACCCTGGTTTAGACACACATACACATAAAAAAAATTGTTCAGAGAATCACCACCATATACACATTTCAAAATTCATGCTGCCATACAAATACATTGGATACTTGGAAAGACATTTCTTAGTGTGTGGGTATGCAGAATTAACAGCAAAGAGAAATGGCTCATCAGTGTTATTTCCAGCTATTTTAAAGGTAAAAAGCAATGTTTTCTCCACTAGCTTTTAAAAATTAGATACAGCTGCCACAGCAGGCCCTAATTGATACTCTTTTTCTAGGAGGAGCACGAGTGATAAATTTCCATAACTCAGTTGTATCATCAAGAAGCAAGACCTCCAACTACATTTGCATTTTGGTTTTTGAAAAAGTTACCATATCTGTTTAATAGATGTGGACTTTCAGATCTTCCTTCACCACTGTATCCCAAAGAATATTAGCTACTCTTCAGCTGAATTCTCAGGTTGACGATTATTAACAAGAGGAAAAGAAATGGCATTGCATAAAACCTATAAGACGTTCCATATTCATACAGCATTTATGGAAAAAAATCCCAATAATATTTCAAATATTACCAACAAAATTACTATCTCATGTAGGAACTGACAAACCTGCAACCTCATTTCACATTGCCTGAGGTCACAACCTTCCTGGCGCTCAGTAAAGACATTAGAAACAAAAAAGTTGTATGTTAATCTGTGGCCTGGCAGGAAGGTGTATGAAAGGCCCACAAGGGACATCCTGAAAAAGTTCTTAACCTTAACGTACAGAAATAAGGTGTGAATTTTAAAAATAAAAACAGATTTTGACGCAGTCTAGCCCACTGATGATGAAAATCAAGACCCTTATATAAAAATCCAGTAACCCCAGTTTTTCACTGGATCATTTCCTACTTGGATTGGTTTTTGCTAACGTCATCACTTATCATAAAGCAAGCAGCAGGTGAGGGAGAACAACCACTACCACAAAACACTTGTTTTGTATTCCTAGCAGGTCAGAAGGAAAATCTGAGCCACAAGCAAAACACAGACTTTACCACTACGCTTCACTGAGAACGGTGGTTCGTCAAAGACAAACGATAGCACACAATTATTTGGATGCTGTAGGTCAGAACAACTGAGTCAAGAAGGTCAGAGAGACAATGCTGGTCCCTTTTATGCTTGGTTCTTACTTAGCATTTATGAGAACAATCTAGTGAAACCTCAACATCCTTTTCAGGCAGAAAAGTAGCATTATCTGTAAAATGTTGATAAAGATTAAGCAGTTTGCCCAGGATTCAGGAAAAAAAGGACTCAGACCTTGGCATCTCTACCTTTCAGCAAAGCAGCACCCAATTCATTGAGCATGTTGTCATTACCACTGTTGACAGACTTCTACAATTACTACATTAAACTTACAGCCAACATCCAAAAATAAAAAGGACCGTTTTTCATTGTGCCGTCGTGTTCGTAAATTTTATAAAAGAATAGGGTTGGAAAAACTGACTTTAAGTAAAATGATTTAATAAAATAAGCTATTCATTCAGTACAATGAATAAAACAAACCGTTTCCACTTGCCAAAGCCAAAACATGGAAGTTGTGCTGCCACAAAGAAATTCTTAAGGCCCAGCTATAATCTAAGTATTTATTATATACGCTCTTACTGTTGTGGCAGCGTTATTTGTCAGAATTTTTTCACTCTAATACAGAAGCATCTTCAAAAATACAATTGTGAAGTTACTAACAAAATACACACGTTCTGCATAGCACACGAATTTTGTGAACTGGATTTGAAATGAATACAAGGGAATCTTTAAAGGCCATAGAAAACATGAACCACACAAATTTTGAAAATACATCACAATGAGAACCATTCTGACTAAAGATCTCAAAACCAGCTGTGGTTCTTCCTATACTAGGTTTGTTCTGAATGAGTCATTCTATTAACTCAATTAAACACCATTCAAATGTCTTGTGAACGCTTCTGGACTGAATGCTAGAAACTTGATCAGTGGTACTTGGAGAACAGGCTCCCTCTACCCAATGAATAAGTTTCAGAAGCCTGAATTTGAACTGCAGCAGGACAAGACTGAAAGAAAAGAGGAGAGGAAAAAAAAAAAAGTACCTTCTCTAAAATAACTTCACTCTTCTTCACCTCTAGCACCTTAGAGAGGTAGCGACACAGCTCTGCATTTGCCTCCCCTTCTGACGGAGGTGCAGCAATAGCCACACCTACTGCCTCAGTTGTCACATCTATAACAAATATTTTAAGGATTTTATGTTCAAAGTATTCAAAACATCTAGTTTTTAGCTCTTAAAACATTCTTAACTTAAATCCAAATAAGCTCCCAGAACAGCAGGTAACTTGCCATTTTTACACTCCATAAATTACTCTGAGTTAAAATAGCCAGTACTAACTCACTCTACGGACCTGCATCTAAGAATTAACAGTTTTTACACTACAACAATTTGGGTATTGTGCTAAATCTCTCTATACAGTGTCCACTCTACTGCTGCTGTAGATCCAGCTTTGCAGTATGCAGCATAACCCCCTAAAAAAGCATGATAAAAAAGCCTGCACAGAGATCTACACTATCATGAACAGACTCTTGATAACCAAGTGCACCTGCATACTGTGCTATAACCTACTGCCAATATGTGTACATTTTACTGAACACAACTGAATCTCACCAAATTGTCCAGTGTTTCTTGAGTGTAAATATTGAAATGTGTGATCTTAATATCCACTTTTACTCTGCTCCAGCTTTCAAATTTATATATATTTTTAAACAATATCAATTATGGTCTAAAATTGCTTTATTCCTATTACTTTTCATTCCTCTTGAAATATCTTAACAGTTGTAAGCAGACATTGGCATCCCTATGATGAGAGGCACAGGATGTAGCAAGTTGTACCACAGACAAGAGGTCTACCATGTTAGCCTCCTATATAAAGACTGGCTTTAATTTGTACATAACTCCAGATTTGTAGAGAGGGAATATATTTTATTAGATTAAACTTTTATAGTCGGAAAAAGACACATAAGCTCTTGGGACTCAAGTAGTTTGCATGAAATCACATATGCAACGCTGAAGTGCTGATCAAATGCAGTTGTTACTTCTTCTAAAAAAAAAAAAAAATCAGTTCAAAAGATTTTATACAATGCTCATGGCACCACTTAGTGCTAGCTACCTACTGGTGAACGTGAAAGAGGTACTCTTGTTTTCTTCTTTTAAGAAAAATGTGAAATTACTACTTTTCAATTTTCTGTTGAAACTTTCAACAGTTCGGGGGGTGGAGACGAGCGCTCGTCTACACTTAGAAAACGAGTTTTACTGTTGCGTCCTGAATCGCTGACAGCTGTCTCCAGAGTGACAAGACGATCTGTACCGTCCACCCACAAAAGCTACGGGAGCAGCTTTCCCGTAAAACCGCCTGCCCTGCTACCTCCAGCTCAGGGCGGCCGGGCCTTGGCGCAGCCGCTGCACGGGCTCCCCCGGCTGGACGAGGTGCGAAAGGGACGAGTTTAGGGACAGCAACGAGACACCTGATGCTCCAGGACTTCCTTTTCCTTCAGGGACGGGACGGCGCCCGCGCCGCACCAGGCGCCTTCCACAGCGCCCATCCCGTCGCTCCGC